TGCTCATCTCGTCATCAATAATGTAAATAATAAAAAAAATCACACATTCAAAAAAACAATTTTTGTTAAGTCACAAAATTTAAAAGAAAAATTGAGAATTTGTCTCGCGGATCTCTGAGCGGATTTCTCAAATGTATTGGATATATTGGATATTTGCATATTCCGCATCTAACATTTCTCACAAGACAAATACAGTTGTACTCGCGTGTTTCTTTTCCTCACCTCCGTGAGTCTCAACTAAGGTAGAAAAAAAAATTCAATATTATTTTTTTTTTATTCAACTTAGTCGTTTTAGCAAACGCTAAGTGTAAACACGTGTTTTTGGGTCGAGATCGCGTTTGTCGTGACGGATGATTAAAGAAATTCGCGCGGTTGAACAAGTTAAAAGGTTGCTGAAACAGCCTGAAACATTTTTTTAAGGATTTGAATAATTTAAAAGGTTGGAATTGAAAATATAAATTTTTTTAAATTTTTCTTGAAGTGTTGAGGAAAAAAATTGTTATTTTTTGAAGAGAGAAAAAAAATTAAAAAACGGAAGTGAAAAAAATTCTCAAAAAAATCAAATTCCGGATATTAAAAAAATTTGTGCAAAAAAAGTGATTAAAAATATGAAAAAATAGTATAAAAATTTAAGAAGTGGCTTAAAATTGATTCAAAAATTATACAAAAGATTATCAAGAAAGGAATTTTTTATTTGTGGTTTAAGAACCGAAGAATAAGAAATTTATTTTAAAAAAATTCTTGACTTGTGAGTCGTTGAATTGGAAATAGTTTTTTTGTAGTAAGATTATGAGTGGCTTATGTGATTTTAAATAAATATATTTTTGTGATAGGAATTAAAATTTGGTTGAAATGATCTTGAACAGCTGTGTTTTTGAGAGTTTTGGACATTTAAAAAAATTAATAAAGATCTTGTAATTATCAGATGTGGTAGTGTTGAAGGGATCATTCAGAGTTCACAGAAATGTCAATTTAGAGATTTTCGATAAGCACCTATTTTTAATACTTTCTTGAGATCAGTAAAAAATATTTTTTGCTGTTGAATTCTAATTTAACTTCTATTGTAGAGATTTAATTTGATTCTAATTTTGCTAAAATGTAAAAGTTGGCTAATGGTAAGGTTTAAGGTATTGTAGGACTAGCCAAATGTCTTGCAAAAATAAAGGTTCAAATTTCATAGTTCCCAAAAGGTGTGTAGCCAAGGGAGGGGGAGGGGGGAGAGGGAGATTTGAGGTCAAATTCTTATTCGTCAATCGAAGTTTCTCCATTTTACTAGGGTTTTTAGCAAAAAAAATCCCATTCTCATAATTTTTACCTTACAAAATATTTTTTCCCCTCTCTTAAAATCCCTAATTACGTCCTGAACCCCTCCCATCCTTAGTCTCAAATCTTACCTTCCAAAAAAAATAAAATATTCCAAATAACTCTAATCCTCTTCATATTTAGTAGTTAAGTGCCAATTTTCAAAGAGCTATTTAAATCTAGTAAAAAAAGCCTTCAAAACTCAGACTCTACATTACCCACCTTGAAAAAAATTCTGGCCCCCCACTGCTGCTTATCAAACGCCCATAATAACAAAAATAATTCAATAATCCATTCTATGTTCTTCCAAAGCACCCCCAAAAATTAAAACCAAAATTATCAATCTGTTAAAAATCCAAAAACCCCAAAAAACATCTTTCTACAAAAAAAAACAACTTCACGGACAACTTCATCGTGTGTCTCGTTATGCAATTAAATGGAGATTTTTTTCTTCATATATTTCTTCAATATCCAAACGGAAAGAAGAAGACAAAGCCGATGAAGAAGAAAAAAATCACATTTGATTTTGTAATATTTGAAGAAAAAAAAGAGATTTGACTCTTTCAGTGGACGAAATTGGATAACAGCAAGGTAGCCAGAAGTTGTATACATATTCGTGTGGTCCATACACAAAACAAAAAAAAATATCATCAATGAGTACAAAAGCTCTGAAGCAGTTTTAGAGCAGAGACATTGAAAATATTGGAGATTTAATGCCATGGACTTCAAAAAAAAAACATTCAATGTTCATAGAAATAAAATTGTGGCGTGAATGTACATGAAACAATGAATTATCTGTTTCACATGATACATGAAATCACCTTGTCTTCCGACTGAGCCCGAGAGGAGATCTCAAAAATTTGATAACGAAAAAAAAAATAATTCTCGGAATTTTAAATTGCTACGTGAAAAAAGTTTATAAAACAATTGATAATTATTCAGTGCTTTAATAACAATCTTTTTATAACTCAGCGCACAGCAACGAGACAAAGTCATAAATACATAAAAGTGATCGCCTTTCGATCGGTCATCGAAGTCTTTTGAATTGATTTTCAAATATCATGCATAATACCGCGGTGAATGTGTGTTGTTGCTGTTTTTGGAATGTCTTTTTTGATGGCAATTTTTTTGATTTTGAATGTTTTTTTTTGCTGCTTAGAGGAGCTTAAAAAGTTTGGGATTTAGGTTAAAAATGTCGAAATTCCTTTATAAAATTTGAATCTGTTTTCAATTCCTGCCATTTACAATCTTAATAAGAGTCGAGCTTAGTAAGAATCAAACCTAAAAAGGAGCAATCAATCGGATATTGTTTGAGCTCTTGTATTGCAACTAGAGAGCTCGAAGTCGATAGGATTCGAGTCGACTTCGAGTTCTGATTTCAACTAGTCTTGTTGAAACTAGTTTTTAATACTTAGAAAACTTGAAACTGAACATTTAGCAGAAAAAAGTAAACTTCCCATCAACTTGACAGTTTGGCTAAATGCCAACTTAAGTCATTCTTTGCCTTTGGTACAAGGCATGAAAACTCAGGATTAATCCTGAAATATCCCGAAATTCTCTGAGCCAATAAACATGAAAATGTGAAGTCCCTTTGAATCCCGAAATGATTCATCAAATGCATCACGGATTTAAAAGGGATTTCACATTTTGACGTTTATTGGCTCTGAGATTTTTTAGGATTTTTGAAATTTTTTCAGGATTAATCCTGAAATTGCACGCCTTGTCTTGTCATTATCGTTGATGTAGCTTTACTTAGAGACTTTCAAAAAATCTAGTAACTCCAATTTAAAGAATCAATTCTGTTTATTCATATGTAATTAAAGGACCAATAACCTGCGCTTTATTTCTAACCACTGCCAATAAATTCCAAACTCACAGTGATGATATTTTGAAAAATCTGCATATTGAAGTTGCTTTTTTGTGTAAAGAAATTTGACAAAAAAAAAAATAAATATATATATTCGATGACATCGGCCTACATTGGAAATTAATTTGAATATTTTTTTTCACTGTGCCTGTCTGTCGATGTCTCTCTTCTTCTCTCACTCGTCGTCTGACTAAAATTTTTTAATAAATTTATTTGAATGTCCACATTTTGATTGATTTCATTCATTTAATTTTTAATGTTTTTTGATTGAATATAAATTGAGACATTGAGATGAAAATGTGGAGAATGGAAATATTTTCGAGAAGAAATAAAGCTTATTTCAATTAAATTTGAAATCATTCCGAAAATGTTGATGAATTATTGATATACATATTGATGTACGGAAGTGATCAAGAATATCAAATAATCAATATTCAATTTAAAATTAAAGAGAAGTCATTTGACATTTTGGATGTGAATTGGGGCTTGATTGTTGACTTTGAGCAAATGGATTGTCTTTACGGAAATTAGGTTGAACAAATTGATGACTTAGTTGATTTAGTTGTTGGATTATGCGATTCTATACCATAACCAGTCATGTGGTGCAAGGGAATAATAAAAAGAGTGTAAATTATATATGGAATCTAGCCTACAGTCGTCTAACCCCCCATAACTCAGTAGTAGGAGCATGCGACCGAAAATCATAGGACGTGGGTTCGAGTCCCGCTTAGGATCCGTTATTTTGAGTTCTACTTTTTTCTGTGGTTTTATCTTCCAGAAGTTTGCTTCATCCAGGGCTTCTTCCTTATAGATATTTCAATTTTATTAACGTAGATTTGGGTGATCCTTACTTACTTACTGTAATTATGTTCCTATGTGGAGCTAAGGTTACAACAAAAGGCTTTCCATCTGACTCTGTTCCTGGCCTTTTTACCTGGTTTGTACAAATTCTCATTATTCTGCACCAGGTAGCTTTTGAAGCTCCTGAGCGTCTCTTTCTTTGGAGATTCCATCCAAGGGTGGTGTAACAAACTTGTGTTTCTGTTCCAGCAATGACATCCTCTCTGGAGCCATCATGATCTCGATCACGTAATAATTTTAATGCGTACATATTTCGCAAGAACATCACATCTAAATTTTGAATCTTTTTTTTTGAAATTTCCTTCAATCTTCTTACCTCACAACTTCAACCACGGAACTAATTCAAATTTAAAAAAAAAACATTGTTAAATCCTCATTAAACTTCAAATCTCTCTTTCCTCATATTAGCTGATTAAAAATCCATCAATTTTTATTATTAAATCATAATTCGATTGATGAAAGTGAAAATTCCACAAAACTATTTTTTTACAGCCAAAATGGAAATAAAATCATAATTTTTATGATTAGTGACATAAAATAAAAATGGACCATTAATGAGACTTAATGAGTGTCTGTAAGAAACAAAAGACGAAAAGATTTTGCATCAAATTTTTTAAGTGACGAAAGTGATTAAAAAAAATATTTTCAAGCCTATAAAAAAAAGAGTTTTTAGGGAAAGAAAAAATAAATATTTTATATCTATTCGTGTCCCAAAAAAATCATAAATTTTTATTTTGAGTGAATTTAAGTGCCAGTGACGAATAAAAAACCAATATGGGTTACAAAATAATCAATATTCAATATAAAACTGAAGAAATGTCTATGAAATAAAAAAAAGAGTCGCAAAAAATAAAAAGAAGAAGTTGAAAAAAAAATTCCATAACGTTTGAGGCCCAAAAAAAAAAGTGAAAATAAAAATACTAAAAAAAAAATTTTGCTCGTTCATAACAGAAAGTGAAAACTATTGAGCATGGCCCTACTCAACTACTCACTGCCATTTGGGGCCATTAATGCTCCACCAGCATGGGCTACCATAAGTCCATCAATTCATGCATCACCTCATGCAGTCAATAATCTTTATGAGCCAACACATCGTCAAGAAGATCTGGTCCGCAATGATGATTATTATCAGAATATGAATGGACCGTACAGGCATCATCATCCACAACAGCAGCAACAACAGACACAAAATAGTCGAAATTATTTGCCTCCACCGCAGCCGGCACAACAAACCAGCAATAATCGTAATGGATATGTTCAATCGACAGCATCGAGAACACAAACTTTTGGCAATAACAATTATGCACAGCAGCAGCCGCCTGTGAGCTATAGTTCATTATCACAAAATTCTGGATATTATAATACCAATACAAATCAACATCAACAACAGCAACATCCAGCACAGCAGCAAGTTCAACATCAGCAGCAACATCCACAACAGCAAAAGAGTTTTAAAGACAATCCATTTCAGCCGAAGCCACAAACACAAACCACCAAAGCACCACCATCAAGAACAACTGTCTCATATCAAACGAGTAGCATATCCAATAATAATAGTAACAATAATAACAATAATAATAAGAATTATAATCTCAATCAAGCTGGATATCCACAAGTACCGCCGGGTTTTAAACCTATTAAGGCTGGTCAAGGAACGAGAACTTTAAATGGTAAGCTGATGATTTTTCTAGTTGATATTATTTATGATGGTGGGTGTTATGAGGATATCCAATATGTAAAGCTTATCAATTGTTGATTTAGCTGTTTAAACCAGTGATGGACAACTTTTTTTGTGCCACGGCACACAGTGGTAATATTTCATAACCGGAATCGCACTTAACACACGGTTCGTTGGCCTTCTCAAACACTAGCGTGCCATTGCACATAAGTTTGTCATCACTGGTTTAATGATAAAGGGGTGCTTAAAAATACAAAGACAGAATTATCTTTGAACCTTAAGTAACATCAGTGTTGAATCCAGTCCTAGTGTTGAGATGAGCTATCCATAGCCTCAGTTTGCATAAGTCATTTAACAGATCTTTACTTTAGGGGCTGTTCACTTATTAAGTAACGCGAAAAAATGACTTTTTAGACCCCCCCCCCCCTTCGTAACAAAATTTGTATGAAAAAAAATTTCCTTGTTTGAACCGTAACAAAATCTTAGACCCCCCTCCCCCCCTAAAAGCGTTACGTAATAAGTGAATGGCCCCTTAGAGAGTTTATTAATTTTGGAATATTTATTACAGTTGCTGTATTAGATTACGATAATGATGAAGGTGATGACGATAATACAAATCCTGGAAATACGAAAGGTAAGCAGATAACAAAAATTACTTTTTGAAAATATTTTTCTGTAAAAGACTGCAAAAAATGATAAATTGATTCTGGTTGGTCTAATTCAGTGTCTTTTAAACTATTTTGGTTGACGACACACCTTTTTGGTAAATCATGACCAAAACCGTACACGGCATATGGTTCGTGAGATTCTATGAATTTTTTAAGACACACTGGCGTTAGTTTGGAATTCACTTGTCTAATTGGAACTTATTCTTTGTAATGTGTATCTTACGCAGTGTTGGGTAACCTTTTTTTTGGCTTGGCACATCTTGGTCAAAAGTCATGACACACGAAATAAGGTTCGTGGGATTTATTGAATTTTTTCCCCACTAGTGTGCCACGGCACATTGGTTCGACATCACTGATCTAACGCATTCCCATATTAAATGAGCCAATTTCTTTTGCAAGTTGGAGACCAAACTTTGACTTGATAGATAACTCGATCAATGTTAAAAAACAATTTAGCATATAGAATTAACGGCTTTGGTCTCTAGATGTTAAGGTAGACCCTACAGAACTATCGCTATTATGTCTATTAATTTTTGGAATAAAAAATCTCTTCTCAGGAGATACTTTAATGGATGCACGTCAAAATTAAAACTTTAAAATTCTTCAAAACACAAAACATTAACAACTGGGGAAATATTGACCATTTATCACTGCAATCCACAGCTTCTAAATGTTAAATCAAATAAAACCTTCCCAAAAAGTTTAAATAACAGGATTTTTCGTACACAGCCGTGACTAGCATGCTATAAATTTTCACTTTCATCCGAAAATTCCAAGAACATAAAGTCATCGAATAAATTCTTACTAAATGAAGCATGTTTGCCGTATCGATTCACGACCATCTCCAAAAATTCTAATAAATTAAATAAAATTAATAACCACAAAATTGTTTGGGTCAACAAAATAAATTTTCTACTATTTCTCAATGAAGATGAAAAAAATAATTTCACACAGAAATTCATAATTCAAAAAAAGCAGCAGAGCTAGTGCTGAACGAGAGGAAGAGAGAGAAAACTATTACCTAATGGATATTTATTTTCAATAAATTAAAATTCAAAGCATAATTTATTACTAATGTCTGTTTGCATACATTTTTGTGTCTCACTGTCGATACTCTTTATTTATTTTTTTTGTGCTGTATTTTTATCTCAGCACACAACTAGTTTTTTGTTCGTCCAATGCTAGACTTTTATTTAATGAAGATTTATGCACTGTATTTAACATTTTAATTTTGCATCTGAATATTTTAGCTATTTTTTGCAATTTTTGACTATGTAGCAATTTTTAGACGTTCGGGCAGCTTTATTGCAAATTAAAAAGCTGTTGAGGTTTGGACATTTGGGGTTTAATGAATGATTTTAATGACTTTTTGTCCAAAATCTATTGCTAATTGAATTATCTGTGTAGATTGAGACTTAAATGGTAGGTAATTGAGCTGAAAACTAGCTGCATAGATCCACCAAAAGCACAAGTCGGTTAGGGACTGTTCACTTATTACGTAACGCGAAAAAATGACTTCTTAGACCCCCCCCCCCCTCGTAACAAAATTTGTATGAAAAAAAAATTTCCTTGTTTGAACCGTAACAAAATCTTAGACCCCCCCCTCCCCTTAAAAGCGTTACGTAATAAGTGAATGACCCCTTAATTGGTTATATTGATTAGTGATACATTTCATATAACTATAGGTGATGTAGAATCAAGCTTCTAATCTTCAAATCTAGGTTTCTATTAAATTCAGGCTCTCGTTTTAATCTTCTGTGGGCGTGACGTGATACATTTCAGGTCCGTTCTGACAATATACCATTATAAGATAATCTTGTAGCTCTCGTTCCTATTTTTCCCGCTACACCACAAGTTCTTAATCCGTTCCTTAATCCAACGTTGCCCAAATGCCCAATTATGGCTTGATCTCGTACATTAAGCAGTCGAAGTTTTAAACTTCTGAAAAAGAACAAATTTAGAAATGGTTGGATTCGAACCGACGACCATCGAGTTACCGTACCAAATTTGAGCCAAGCGCCTTACCTATTCGACCAGCAAGGCACTTAACTGCATAGTATGCTAAGTTCCTAACCTGAATATACGTGAAACACCGTCTGTCCCTTTTCCAAACATTACACTTCGTGTCACAGCTTCATAGAAAGACATGTCGTCCATTCATTTATTTTCTAGCATTTTCCTCATCTGCTAAGCTTCTTTCCCTCTTTTGCTCTGCAATACAAGCACATAAAAAGATCGCCATCAAAATTAACTCTGACTTATTGTGCTGTACATTTTCGTTGATACACAATAGTGCATAAAAGACAAGAAGGAAGGAACGACAATTTTATAAATAATGCAATTCCATTTATGTGCTCTCTCTACAGTTTTGTAAAACACACACACGCGACATTATAAATAAATTTCCTAGAAAATTTTTGTACTTGGTATACATGAAATTAACAAAATGTACAGTAAGTTGTAGTTATGCTGTAAATAAAAAAGAAAGGCCAAGTTTGAAAATCATGGGTGGAAGGGGTATAAGGCGCATTTTTAAACTTACTTTCTTAAAGTTTTTTCATTTTCTACTAAGACTGTCTTGAGCTCTACCACTGCTTTAGAAAACTCAACCGCCCAAGCCATAGTTTTACTAAATCCACAAATACTCTTAAATTCCAGCTACAACTGCACATATCGATCTTAATACAACATTTTCCTGGCACTCTGCATTTTTTCCATTCATGAATAATGGATTTTTAATCAAATTAGAGCTGAAAAATTGTATCTAGCTCGTTGAGACAATGGACTTCCGTATTCTCAATTGAACAAAGTTCCCATACAATATACTTATAAAAATAGAAAAACTTAAATCACGACTCTTAATTGCCAACTGTTCTCAATTTCCGTTTTCTCGATAATTGCATTTGTGGAAATTTCCTAAAATAACTTTTTAAAACGTGATGATTAATAGCCATTTATTTGTTCTACTCGTAAGTTTTTTGACGTAATGAGAAAAACTGCAAAGCTTTTATCAATGAAAAATGTAAATTTAATTATGCAAATTTAATAGTAAAGTTTGTAACGTGGCTTTCGCGAGAAGAAATAATGTTTGTGATTCAATAATTTGTTTGATGATGTTTGAAAGAGATTTAATGGGTTTTACCACGTTTTTTTGTATTGTCAACTGAGACTTCAAGTTGAGTATTAGCTACAGTCGAGTTGGAACCAATGACACCGAACTAAGCTTACGCGGACGTCCCAAGAACTCTTAAAAAGAAACTGTTGACAGAGACAGTATTGCATTTGGTATTGGTAATTGGCAAACGGTTGCCAACTTTAGAACCAGCTTCAGGCGTCATCTAAGAGAGGCCATGGATCACAATTGATCTGTACGGCCAGCAAAGAAGAAGAAGAAGAAGACACAAAAAAAAGCTTAGTTAAATCAATTGAACCTAGAATCTAGAATTCTAAATTAGGTCAGCTTAAGTCAAAAATCATCAGTGAATTGACACTGGCTTAGGTCAAGTTGACTCACATGAAAAGTCAAGTTGAGTCACATGAAAGGTCAAGTTGACTCACATGAAAAGTCAAGTTGAGTCACATGAGAGGTCAAGTTGAATCATAAGGAATCTGTCCATTGGTTGTTTTTGGTCAAAAAGCAGGACATTTAGGATTTTAAGCTAGATATTGTGCAACATACTAGCACTAACCCGCTCAAAAATGCTCTCTTACACAGCCTAATCATAAAACCATGAAGGAGGTAGGTAGGAGCAACAAATTGCGTGCTAATTAATTAAATTTACATCAACAAAACTGATTCCCTCCATAAACAGTGTATCGTCCCATCTATCATCGCCTCAAAACTCACATGATTATTTTTTACATATTGACAATCACTAAGGCGGATGTGGATGTGCGCGCAAAATACAAGAAAATAAAAATGAAAACTGTTTAGCGACAATCACGTAATTTTACAAATTCACTGCAAGTCTCGTCATTGAATGTGTAACAGAAGACATAAAAAAATTGTAAATAAAGAAGAAATGTTTTTTTTATGGCAATGCCTAATCCATCTCAATTAACACCTCCGCGCCAGTTTGGCATGTCTGTCTATTAATTTTGCCTGTCTCTAGTTTCTTTTTTTGAAAAACTTTTTTCTATAAAAAAGAGCAAATATGGATCTAAATAAAAATAAATATTTCATTTAATATGCAAATCATCGTGTATTGCTGTGGAATAAAGAAGCAAAGGAGAAGGAGGAGAAAGAGATTGGCTAATGCACAGTAGCTCTACGACTTGATTATGAAGAAATATTGTCAATGCATTTTGCATATTAAAAATGTCAAAATATCTTCTTTTTTCTGTCGAAAAGTAAAATTTATTTCAAATCGATAGTGTTGGAGGTCTTGAGAGTTATTAGCTTTGGATTTTACGTCTTAGATTTTGATTTTAAAAATTCTGAGATCAACTTAGTTCCATTCAACTCTAAAAACGTCTTAATATAGTTCAACTTGAATGTAAATGCTCGGATCTAGCCTCAAACAACCTTATTTATGTCTGTAAGTTTGATATGAGATTAAACTTTCAACTGACCTAACCTAGAAAGTTTGACCTACCTTAATTTGCTTAGTGCTTTCTCAATCAAAAACTTTTTCTATGCTTAATTCTCAGAATCAGTTTAAAACATTTAATTATCATCAGTCAGACACATCTTGGCGCTCATTAAATAGTCGATAGCAGCACGTGAATTTAATTGAATTATCTCGCTTCATTTCATGATTTAATTGCACTTCCTTCATTTATCACCTGGCTTCTAATTGTCTGTTCCGATGACCGGGTGTTAAATAATTTCTTAATAGTCTGCTTGAGACTGTAAGCTAGCACGAAACGTTGATTTTGATGTTCTTGGAATGTGGCTAAGAGAGATTTGATGTGAATTGATGGCACGGGGTTGTTGATGATCGAGTTTGTGTTGTGTTTTCCTTGCCAAAGACTTGAACTTATGCTTATTAGGTTGATGTTTTAATTTGCAGATACCAAAATACCTTGGAGATCTTCCTATAACTGCTGTTTATATAAACTAATGTAAAACAAGTCGGATTCAATGGGAATCGAACCCACGTCCTAAAAAGAGGCGATCTCTGATCACTCGATTAGAGATCCCTGCCATCGGTTACCGAGATACTTATTTCACTTCGGCTACCAGTCATCCATATACAACCAGTTTCACAGTGAGCCCTATGCTTAGGCCTATCTACTCTTGATATGCTCTTCGATCCACATCTCCATCCCTAACCATTGTGTCATCAAGTCATTAATGCACACAAAAACAAAACAATCAATTACCTTATTTATTCAGTTGCATACAAATCCAAAGAATTATGCAATCTTCCTCACTACAAGACATACATATTGTTGCATTTCCACATCATTTTCCAATATTCTCCAGCACAAAAAACTATGCATCATTTGCAAAAAAAAACTGTACTTAATTCTCAAAAGACCCAATAATTATCATTCATCAAGTTTCATCTTAATTGCACATCCAAAGAGCTTCTAAATACTTGCATGCATTTTTCCTTGCCTTAATGAAGCAAAGCAGATGAACTGAGAGGGAAAAAAAAATTATTTGAATTTATGAAGGCTTAATTCATTTGCCACAATTTGCTTGTCTGCTTTCTAATTTGTGTACATTGCATCACATCAGACATTAAATCTTGACATAGATTTAAATAGACACTGTACTGAGATTTCTGTATTAATTAAAATGCAAAGACAATCATCATGTTGATGATGAATTTGATGGCTGTGAGGTTTGTTAGAGTTTGTATGCACATATCTCAGAGCTCAATTTGTTTACGTTTAATTCACTTAATGAATGAAAATTCACCCACTATTATGTACGTGATTTGTCATTGCTTAATGCATTGTGATGGAAGCGTTTGGAATTTTTATAAGTTTTAGTTGGAATTCAGCGCATTTTTGAGGTTTTGTGATAATTTTTTACATCAAAACTCTAATGTAAAGGCACCTGAACCTTAAAAACTTTAATGTGAAGGCACCTGAACCTAAAAATTCCAATATGAAGGCACCCCAAACCCATAAACTCTAGTGTGAAGGCACCTGAACTGTAAAGGCAACAAAACTTCAAAACCAGAATGTATAGGAAACTAAACCTTAAATCTGGAGTGTGCAGGCACCTGAACTTAGTAGCCCGATAAAAATGTACCTAGACCTAGTATCCTAATGCGAAGATACTTGAACTTTAAAAACTTCAATGTGAAGGCATTTGAACCTCAAATACTCTAACGTGAAGGCAACTTAGTAGCTCTGATAAAAATGTACCATCAGACAGCATCTCTAGTGTGGAGACACCTGTACTTTAATTACTTTCTAGTGTCAAGGCATCTTAACATCAAAACTGGAGTGTGAAGGAACCAGAACTTGGTAGCTTTGATGAAAATGAACCAAAAGTACTATGCTGGATATCTACTGCAAAGGCACCTTAACATTAAAATCTAGTGTAGAGACATCTGAACTAATATAATTTACTGCAAATGCATCAGAATTACACATATCTAATGTGTAGGCTCCTGATTTATTAATAGTTCTTCTTAAGCAGACAAAAACACAACAAACTTTCAAGTTCTTACCAAAAAGGAACAACAAAAACCTCTCAAACTCGTTCCCACAGCTAACAAAAATCAAATTAATTTCCACCTATCATTTTCATTTGTCTATCTCACACACCATGCACCGCTTCATCTCATCTCAATCAATCTTTATTCGGATATTTGGTTCATTTTATTATTATGATGATGATCGTATTTTTTTCTGTTGTTTATTTCAACACACACATGACATTGAAAATTAAAATAGCACCAAAGAGAGGGTAGGTCAAGTATGCTGATGATGATGAGTTGAGTGTGAGAAAAAAGCGAAGCACTGAAAATACAAAAATAAAAATAAAATAAAACATTACACACTCATTTGCTTAATTAATTAAAGGGTAAATATAGTTTTAATTACTCAATCGCTCTCGCTCACTCTCTTGGCTGTGCTTTTTGCGTCTCATTAAGAGCTTTTTTTGTGTTTGCACTTCTCTCGCTTGTTCATGCTCAATTTATTGATGTTCATGAAATTATTATCGAAGGTCTGGGACTTTAAAATCTTAAATTACAATCAATGGATTTCAAGTTCGAATAACTAGCAGCAAACTTGCATTTAAATGCTTCCTAAAAAAGATCAATTGGTACATTCTTTTATTGAGTGGGCATTTCTATAAATGAATCAACTTCCGCTGTTGAAAAATCCAAAAATAAATCTTAATTAACATTTTAAAATGTTCACTATTAATTCAATAAATCTACGCGATTATAATGAAAAATTCATTCCGCCCACAAAACGAGTTACTTCAAATGAAAACGAGAGCTTGCATGATTCATTTTGTGTCATTTTGAGACGTGTTGGAGATTGCTGTTGTGAAGTTTGATTAAATTTTTCATTTGTTACTAGTGACTGGAAATGAGATGGTTATCCCAAATAGCACAAGTTGGTGTATCGAATAGAATCTGGCACCAAGGGCTCATAGCATCAAACAAGCATCATGTCTGAGTCACGCTGGCTTGGTATAGGATTTCTATTTGATTAACTGACTTGTGCTATTTGGGTGTCGGGGGTTAAAAGGGATTGAAACATACATAATAATAGTGTGAGAAGATTCTAGCCTATCTGCGACAAGCTGCAGGCACTGTCATTCTGATAGTTGATAGAATCTATTGCACCATTGGGTTGGAACAGGTGAGATCGCTATACAATTTCTAGCTCTTTCTATGAAACTCCTGTCATGTCTCAGACACTTCAGACTGCTTCAGACGATCTTCATACAAGTCTCAGATGGCGACATTCCTAATAAGTTGCACTTGAAAAAATCTTTTCTCATTTAAATTAAGTTAAAGCTTTGTATTCACAAACATGATCATTTTTTCTATTCATTAAGCGTTGTGCAATTCACAATAGCATTCAATTATTAAGAGCAATTGAGGTTCAAGTTAGAAAAAGATGAAGAATAAGCTTGATGTGGTGCATTTTGAAGCTTATTATGGGTTGAATTGTTGATGCTTGACTTGAATCTTTGATGATTTATAAAAAATTGGACAACCTTATCTAATATAAGTGCCAAAAATCCTATAATTACATTTAATGTCCATTAAAAGTTCCCAATCAAAAAATGTCAGTTAAAGGAAGTAAATCAGCCGGTATAATTACCAACGTGACAATAACCCCGTAAGAACAGTGGCGTCAAAAATCTCCGATTACACTTGTGAATTCCAAAACAAGTTATCATCAACTTTTTTTATCCTCGCTGAGATTTCTCAAACAAATCATCTCGCTGGGTGGTATACACAAAAAAAGACAATAAAAACACGAAATTCTAGACAATTTATATTGAAGATTCAATCAATTTGCGAATTATATTTGTCTCCTATTTTAACGCTCCTTAATGTGGACGAGGAATTTTGATTGGAGGCTGGTTGAGTGGCTAAAGCGCATTTTATTTTAAATTTTGAACGATTAATATTTTTTGAACAATTTTAAAAGATTTTAAAAATTACCATAAAAATTAAGAAAATTAATAAAAAAATTAGAAAAATTAAAAAATAATAAAAAATTGCTAAAATAATAAAAGTTATCTTTCAGACTAGTCGATGAATTTAACAATCCACCAGACAAATAAAACAATAACATTTAATTTTAAAAACTAAGCTGAACAATATTTTTAAAAAAGACATTTAAATACGGCAATATAATATCATGTGATGGCGCCAACATATTTTTACGGATTTTCTACATATTAAGAAATAAATAGACACAATTTGACCCAACTTATTATCACCATTTATCATATTTTTAGCGGCTTTTCTTTATTACCACTTAAAAATATTATTTCTTATTTTGGGAATTTTAAGCTTTTTAGAATTTTATTAAAAATTTTATTTCTTTTTATTTTCAGATTCATTTAATCGACTACAGCCTAATTTTCCAGTAACACCTATTCAAGGACCAATATTTCTACAAAACGACTCAGTTCCTGTTCTACCACTTTATGCATATCCTAAACTTAACAATGGGACAATTATGCAAATTCCTGTGAGTTGAGACTTAGTTTTTTTGTGTATTTAATATTTTTAAGGCGTTTGTGAGAAATTTTGGGGTCATTTTCGGAGATGGGGTACCAACATGGTTACAATTAGGTTGGGTATTGTGTTTCTTAATTTTTGGAACTTTAAATTTAATTATCTGCACTTATTCTGAATGGTTCATGACTCCAGAGCATGATGAGACTAGCATGAACTTAGATTCAGTCTAAAACTGTCATCAAGCCTTGACAAAACCGCATTTTTCATCATTTTTACATTATATAGATTTTATAACAGCTCAGCTTACTGCACTTCAGCATTTCAAATAAATGTGACCCTTGAGACTCAAAACTACCTTAATTTCCGCTTACTACATCTCCATTCACTCAATTCACTTCTAATTACCTTCATTATTTAAATAAAAACTTCACTTTTGCAACGCCTCAGTAGTAATTGACACTTAGTTACGTGTATAAAACAAAGTTGTGAACGATCTATTTGATTTACATCCCGGTACCATGAAAATATCCTCCTCATTATATTAATACAGAAATTTAATACGTAAACGTAGCCGGCATTAAATGATCTAATGACGTATTTATTGATGCAAAGTTGAGTTCATTTATTTAACAGCTGAATATTTGAATAAAAGATCTAGGATGTGTAATGATGGGGTTCAGATTGGCTGTTGTAAGAGCTAGCACAAGTCGGCTAATCGATCCGCTAAGCAGGCGTGATTCTGACATAGTTCTGGGTTTAAATCGATGCTAGCACCTTGCCAGAGTCTCGCAGGCTTTGTGCCAGACTTCAATTCGATTAACCGACTTGTGCTATTTGGGATAATTACGTTTTAGCGTCTTTTACTCTGACTTGAGCCGAGAGAATCTAACCTTAACTTAAGTCATAGAAATTCAACTCCAAAAGATCTTAAAATGCGCTCGAAACACCAAACTTAAATCCTCATTACTTCAAAAAAACTCTAAATACCCATTGAATGAAATCATGACAGGAATTAGGCTATAGGGAAACACTTTACCATCGACATAAAAAAATGCTTTTATATTCCACTTTATTTTTTCATCATCATCATCGTCATGAATGAATGGAGTGAAGTGAATGGCAGTTTTGACAGAAATTTGCTTTCAATACGACTAAACATCACTAGCTGAATGAATATTAGATTTACTTCATTCGGCAGCATTTCAATGACTTCATTGATCCGGTATTAATGACTTCATACACATGCTCATCACTGGGATGCGATGTTTCGTTGAACCATTGAAAAAAAAATGTTTCGGAGCTTCTTTTGTAAATTTGAAAACTAATTTGACATGTCTTGTTTGTTGTGAAATAGTTGAGCTATGTTTCTGCCTTTGTTTGGATTCTGATGCATGATTTACATTTAAGTTAATTAAATTGTTCAATTCTGAGAGGATCTAGCATTGCCTGTGCTGGGAAAGTTCAATGTCACTTAAACTAAGATGAAGTCGATTTTAAAAAGATCGAAATCAGATTAATATAATAAATTCTAACCCGAATGGCGCAATCGGTTAATCGAATAAAAATCCAGCGGACTCTGGCATGATGCTGGATTTAAATCAACACTAGTCGAGTTCCACCGGTTTGTTTCTGGATTTCTGATCGATTAACCGACTTGTGTCATTCAGGTATTGTCACATGATCTTAGATAGTCTAGCTTAGCTTGTCATAAAGATGATATAGCATTGGTTGACTTGATAAGGTCTAATTACGGTGGATCTAAGAAGCTAATCATAGCTTACTTACTTTATTCACTTACTTCGCTGGCTGAACAGATAAATTGTGATCCATGGCCTCCCTATAATCTTAGCTTAGTTCGAGAAACTTCAACGCAACTCAATTAAAGCCGATCTTGATCGATTTGACTCTAGAAGACATCTTATTAAGTTGAGTCTTAGAAGAACACAGGCGCGTAGTCAGGTGGTGGGGAGGGGGGGGGTGGTAATTGGGTCACAATTAACTTTATTTTAGCAGAAATTTCTTTAAAATTTTTCTAAAATTTACACAATTTTGTCCTCCACATTTCGATCAATTCCTGGCTACGCCCCTGGAAGAACCAGCTTTGTCCAACCATAAAGGATCAAGTTTGATTCCAACCCTAGATGGACGTCCTCTTCTTAAAACAAAATGATTTAATTCCAATTTGAATTCCCTTGAAATAATTTAAAACCATTAAAAACATAAAAATTTGCATCAAACAATCTTCATCACATTCCAAACCACATCCAATTTCCATTCACTTGTTCCAATCTCCACCTTAAAAAAAAAAATCTTCAATGCCACTCTCGTTTTTGGTTACATAAATCTATCGAAATAAAATATTCCGCTGACTCATGTTCACTAAAGTAGATCAATTCACATTTCATTTTTGTTTTCTTTCCATCGAACGAACCTTGAACTTCGTGTGGCTTCCGAGAAGCCAATTAAATTGAAAAAATCATTTAAAATATCCAGCCTTGATTTCTTAATTAAAACTCTCGTTTTCCGATTGATTTGTTAATAGTTTTACACATATTCAGAATAATTATGTCGATGACAATTAAAAATCAAGCTAATTAAATTGATTCCTTTTTTTGTGCGGGGCTTCGGCACTATAAATGCTAAATGGGAAGTTAAACTAATTAGTTTTACTATATTTTTGATAGTAAATTTTACTATAAACAATATTCTAATTAGTTTGGAAATTAGCTTCATTAAAATACAGTTTGCAATCATTATTGACTTTGGAGGATATTGTGGATGATATTACAGAGAATTATGGGAATCTTTGATGTACCGACAGCACTCTGTGCAATGTGGTCCATTACAAAGCACCTCTTATTGAGCTAGGTTGTTGATTGAGATGATAAATCTAGAAAAGACGAAATTTAAAATATTTCCTGCCAAGTCACATGACACAAATGTTTATCTCCATTCAAAAATATTTTCAATCCAGAAAAAGCTCCTACAAACAAGAAAAATCCAAAAAGACGTCAAGAATAATTTTTTTTTTTCAAAAGTTTATTTATAACAGCACAAAACATTCTATTTTTGTATTTCGATGGCATTTCGACGCAAACTAAGCGGATCTTCTCTGTTTGGAATGTTATTTGGTGTCCATAATCTCTCAATCTCATAACAAATCTCTCCACCGACACTATTTTTCAACATTTACATTTATCTCGTGGTGGTCGCATGTCATCAAAGAGCTCGTGAGAAAGACTCGAAAAAAAGGGCAAACACGCACGGTAAACAGACAAAAGCGGCTTTTTTTTGCGAAATAAAATCCAATTTTTTTTTTCGTCGCTGCTTTTTGTTTGATTCTGTGTGTGGTAAGGTCTTTGGAAATGTTTTTGAGGATGATAAACAAGTTGGGAAATATTTTTTGGTGAGGTTTGTGGTGCTTTTGTGACTGTGGTTGGATGATTTTGAGCTTTTGATGATATATTTTGAGATTTAAATGTTGAATTGTGTAGACTCATCAAAGTGTGTAGGTAAAGCAAGGAGATGGCCTAGTTTAGGAAAGACACGAGTACGTGTAAAGACCGGATGTACCATGCAATGTACCTAGTCACAATTCGTTCCTAGTATACCTAGCATAGGAGACACTTCATGTGCCGAAGAACTCAACTACATCCGACACTAGAACCGAATTTTTAACTAGAACGGTGAAAGTAAAAGAGTTTTTAAAACTTGATTTCGCCTGGGATTGAACCCAGAACCTTTGAAACGGAAGGCCAACGCTCTACTACTTAGGCTACTGAAGCTATTTCACTGCTCATTAATGCACTTGACATATAAAGCAAGACTTATTGACTCTGATCCTTTCGATCCCTAAATATTCGTTATCGTAAACAATCAACTCCCTAATGATCCACCAAAATCAAGACAAACTGACTACCATGTATCCTCCATGTCCACATAACCTCAAAAAAAATTATGATAAGATTTATAAATTTTTTATTTTGAATCATCTTAAAATAATTTTCACCATCAATAACATTAACGACAATAAACGACGTCGGTCTTAAGACACACACGAGATGAGTTAGACAGATGCTGATCTGTGTTGTATTATTTTTTTTTTTGGAATTGTCATACTTAAGCCGATGACTTGCCGCTTAAATAAATTTTACTAAGCAGCAAAAAAAAATTTTTGTCTTTATGTATTGTCTCTGTTGATGCAGAAAAAAAAATCATCATCGGCATTAAAAGAAGAAGATTCTTTTTTTGGTCACTTAAAAGTTTAGAGAGAGAATTGAACAAAAAAATTTAAAAAAAATGCCGAAATAGTCGTCAGTTTACATTCGAATGGAGATGTTGTGTCTGCAAGGAAGAAACGAGAAGAGATAAATAGAAAATTCAGTGTGTGTTTCACATTTCTCGAGAATTTTCAAGCATTCTCAAGCATATTTAATTTTCGTGTATTTTTTTTTTGTTTCGAGAGTGAATCTGGTTTTTCTGGTGTGGTGAAATAAAAAAGAAACTAAATAAATATTGATGTACTTGTGGGGAATTTTGTCAGATTTTATTTAGAGTAATTTGTGGGATATTTTGTTTTAGACAAAAAAGCTTTTAGACAAAACGTGTCAGCTATGAACCCCCCCCCCCCCCCCTTCATTCACGTTTTAGAAGTCGACTTGTACTATTTTTAAGTAGGGTTGGCTTTAAATGATAGTTCATTACTGAATGGAAGCATTCAAATTAAAAAGCAGAAAAAATAGAGGACCTGAAAGTAAAATAGAGGAGATGCCAGGTGTCTACCAATTTTATTTACGTTTTCTGGACCAATTAGAACAAAATAAAACTATTTTATTTTTGAAATAGAAGACTGTCCTTTGAAAAACCAAGCAGATGGTCAGCTTAGCTTTGATAAATTCCTTATCAATATCTCAGATGTTGGTGGTTAAGTTTTCAACCTTAATCTATTAAATAACGTTGACCACTCTCTAAAAAGACTTCCCAAATTTCTAAACAAATGGAGCAGCACTAACGCAGTGTTTCTCAATCTTTTTTGGTCAATTGCACATTTTTTTACATAAAAATGTCCATGGCACACCTGAATAGTCTCGTGGGACACTAAATGATTTTCATGACCTTTTTGAAGTCCAAGCCAATTTTAGCGATGAATTTTTTTCGTGCCACACACTTGGAATTTTTTGTGTGCCGCGGCACATAGTTTGAGAACTACTGCTCTAAAAAGTCTATTTCTAGAGTACAAGCTTCTCTACTGATAATATGAGATTTCGAATATTGGAATAAGTCCTTATGACATTCACTAGTCAGTTATGACACCCATTCCCCATAACAATATCCCTCAAAACTTCAAAAAAATCTGACAAAACTTCGCAAAAGGACGATCAAAAAAAAAGTCATTAATATCAATAATTATCAGAATAGAGCGAATGATTCACCGACGAAAACGACGACGAAGAAGAAAAAACCACTTTTAGGTTTTCACCGATAAGCCACAAACTAAATAGCCGATCCGCGTCTATGTGTCTAATCTGTGTGACTTGATAATCGAGCGAGGAAAAAAAGAACTAAAGGATTTAAAATGTGCTGCGTTAATGTCGCTGTAAATATTTATTTTTTTATTATTCGCATTTTATGTTAATTTATGCTTAGATTCTGATTTTGTCAAAAAAAAAAATTTTGCCAAGAAAAAAATTCAGTGAAATTTATTTTTTCTTTAAAAAAAAACTTCTGAATTGAGGTACAAAAAACACATGGAAAACGAGTTTGAATCAACACGTGGATTCATTTAAGAAAAGAATTCTTAATGTCTCATGAATGATGTGTAGAATCAATAACAGCAACAACAATAACAAGGAATTAATTCTTTAATCTTCTCATTTTATCTCTTTTTAAATGTGTTTTCGATGAGGCTCTTTTGACTTGCTGAATGGCAAGGAATTTAATATTTTTTTCTGTGATTATGTAAAAATTATTGGCGGTGTTTTGCAGTTGGTTGTGAAGTTGACTTTATTGCATTTCTTCGATTCTTATATAGAAATTACTACATCCATCATATTCAGATCCCTTCGCAATCGCTTGCCACTTAATAAGCCCCCTCCCTACCTCCGTAAATGTTAAACATCAGAAGTCAATAATTCTATAAATTCCTTGAATAGTTGAGCAAAAAAAAATGTTCTTTTGATAAGGATTCTTTGGAATTATTCAGCTGGTTTTTTATGGCAAACTTCTAAAGTTCCGAAAATATTTTTAAGCTTTTTTAAATCTTTCATAATAAATGTGTTTATATTATTATGCTGATAAGTTTTTGCATTCATTTTTTGGAATTTTTATTGACGACTTTCTAAGGTGGGTTCTAGATTTAATTCCATTGGAAATGTTACTGTCTCGATATTTCTGTTATTTGAGGAATCTTTAATCTATGGAGGTTTAGCTAAATACCTGGCTCCTAGACTAGATACTAAGCTCCTAGACTAGATACTAAGCTACTTGACTAAAAACTACACTACTAGACTAGAAACTAAGCTACTTGACTATATACTAAGCTACTTGACTATTTACTAAGCTTCTTGACTAATTACTAAGCTACTTGACTAGATACTAAGCTGCTAGACTAGAAACTAAACTACTTGACTATATACTAGGTTACTTGACTAGATATTAAGTTACTTGACTAGATACTAAGCTCCTAGAGTATTTACTAGGCTACAATACTAGATACTCGACTACTAGACTAGATAACATTAAAGTCTGAAAAATTTGCTCACATTACCTTCTTCAGAAGCCAAAAAATTTAGCCGTCAAAAGCTTTTTACTAATCCTCGGTACAAAAACATTTAAACAGCCGTTCATAACCATCTCACATCCAACACACAGGTATCAGAGAGTTAAAAATACTCAAATGATAATTTACCGCATCTTCTTTACAAATAATGACTTCACTTTCACTTCTGAGTGCTTGTGTGTCTTCACGACTGAGTAGTTTCTTCGGAAGTAAATAATGAACAAATTTTTCAATGATGTGAGGTTGTGCAAACATTTTAAAGATTAGAATGCTTAATATTGTCAATGAATTATAGAGGCTCTTAGTCTGGCTTTAGTCGCAATGAAAATATCTAAGCTGATGTTACTTTCATAAAATGATAATTTAATTTACTAGGGGATGGTTTCTCGGTATACATTTACATTTACACCTACATCAGGTGTTTACTCTAGCGACTCCAAGGTCTGGTTAATTTTAAATTGAATTGATAGCCTAGAGCAGTGATGGCCAACCCGTGAGCCGTGAAAAAATTTGGGATGTCTCATGAACTGTAAACTGTGTGCGGGTTTGGTCATGTCTTACCACTAAGTGTGGCGTGGCTCAAAAAAGGTTGGGCACCACTGGTCTATGGTCTATTTTATCATTTATTTGTGGTAGTTTATCCTGGGTAACCTCAGAAACTGATGCAAGATTAACATTCATTGTGACTTATAAGTTGCAACTGCATAAATAATCTAGAGCTAATGATACCTACCAGAAATCTTGAATATACGCGTTTTTTTTCTCAATTAATTAAAATTTACAAAACAAACCAACTTCAATAATTATTTTTCACTTTCATTTTCAGATTTGGTGGACAGCACTCTCAGTAGCGTTAGGTCTAAATGTTCGCGGTGATGTCATCAAAGGTGTACCATGTGTTAAGCGAAATAATCAATTATTTTGTCCAACAGCTGGCAATAGTTATCCAATGTGAGTATAACAAGAGGAAGTCACGGTTTAATAAAAATAAAAATAATAATTATTCTCGTCGCGTGTCAATTCTTTTCCTGCATTTGTATTTGTGCGTGTATTAAAGATGCTTCAAGTCATCTTTCATTATCAAATTCCCAAATGAATGGTAAATGGAATCAGCATTGTCGTCATCGTCGTTGTCGTTTTGTTCTCGAAGTAGCAAAAAAAAATATCTTCATTCATGACCGAAATTAGCTATTCGTCTTAAACATTGTCATCTTAATTAGAATATCTATACAGCAGAAAATGTGAATCGTGACTAGAAGCACAACATCGTGCTTTCATTTCCATCTCGTCCCTCGTTTCTATTCACAAAAAATTTTTAAACAAGCTTCTTGCTACTCATCGCGTAAACAGATTGTTGTTACTATCAAGAGCATATTTTCGTGTATGATTTAATGAATTACTTTAAGACATGACTTAAAACTTTAATGAACTTCGTTTCATGACATAATCATGAGATATTTTAGATATTCTCAGCCATTCTGGCTTGATTGTATCGTACTCTCTTTAAATATGAAGATGATGATGGGAGATGGAGATGTTTTAAAGAATTTGAAGTTGAATTCCATCAAATGAGATAGTTTTGAATTATATTATTGAGTTTTTGGGCCTATAGTGAATTTTTTTCGAATGTTTTATTGAAATGTTAGGTTCTTAGTGATGACTGTATGAGTGGATAGGTAGATTAAAGCCAAACTTGGTATCTTTGACTAGATTACTTAACTTGTGTGATTTATCTGGATATCAAACGCATATCAACCACAGGGACTGATTTCGGGAGCTTACAGAAGCACCAACCTTTCCTTGAGTCGAAAATCAATGTTCTGGAGTAAGTAGGAGCTCGGATTCCACTACAAACTGTAGATCTGAAGGGTGTGGTACAATAGATTTACAATTGCAGTGCCTTCAGCTCAAAAGGCTAAACCCTTCAAGCATTATATGCTATATAATTGTATCGGTTAGCTTTGGTAGCTGGCCTCAGATGTTACCTACTGAAAGATAAAATAACAGACACTGCCAGCTTTCCTTGTATGAGTCACAGACAAACAGAGGTGCAATCATAACTTTTTCTAGCGAGAGTTTGATTTATTGAAGATTTTGTTCCTCGCAAAAATCTCAACTTTAAGATAGTGATCAATTCTCTTGGACTCTTCTACGCTTAATCTTACAATTCTAGCTTGAGATTTGCAAAAATCTATAACCAAGTTAAATGTTTCCTGTGAAATTCAGAGCTAATTTGGATCCAACTCTTGTTTATATCTTGAATTGACAGTCTCATTACTATTAAGTTGATATTCCTAAATATTAATGTTAAGCTAATTACAACATATTTCCATTTTATGTTTGCGACTGCAGCACTTTAAGTCAACCACAATTCAAACCTAATTATGCTAATATGCATTCAAAACATTCTTAAAATTCACAAATTTCAAAATTGCATACTAATCTAAAATCCATTCAACATCAATCGACTTACTATGTCTCCAATAAAATAACATAGAAAATCTACTTAAAAATTCCAATAAGGTGTGCTACAATTAATAAACAGAACTCAAACAAATAATTTTTTAAAAGAGTTTCATTGAAAAATATCAAAATGAAAAGGTTATCGCATTATTTGCACATTTTTACAATCGAATCTATAAAAAATAAGCAAAAAACAAATTACAATTGAATACAAATCTCGAAAATACGATCAATAATGAAAAAATCATTCAATAAAAGTAATCTTCACCTGATTCCCACAAAATTCAATTTCATTACTCTACTATAACATTTCAAGGTTATTCTAAGCTCGCAAAAAAAAATAAGGTAATAATTCACATTCATGAGCAGTCATAATTCAGAGATTGCTCATCTAACTCTCATATTTTTACATAATCGCGTTCATTTTCATCTTCATGTAGTGCGTGTTTGATGTGCGGTTGAGTAACGTGATGTGGTTTGGTGTCTCGTGCATTTGTCTTATTGTTGAGGTGATGCTGAGAGGTGTAAGGAGCTCGGGGATAAGTGGAGTGCATACGCAAAAATATAAGATGACGTAAGAATTGGATTAGTGATTTGAGGTTTGAGGGGGATCAAGATTTTGAAGTGAATAATTGTTGATGAAAAAAGTTGACTAAAGTCGGTGCAAATTTGTGAATAATAGCTACAGTCGCTACTAGTTAAGAGTAACTTACTGAGCTGTAGTAACAAATATCCTTTTTTTAGTGTTGGTCAACCTTTTTGTACCACGGCATACCTTGTTGGTGAGCCATGATCGAAACTTGGTGTGCCGTGATACAAGGGTTGGCCTTAATTGATTCAGTTTCTTCTACTCTGCCTACCTTTCTATTAAAATTTGCACCAGAAAACCTCCGTGAACCTTTAATGAATAGGCTGACCAACTGTGCACTTTTGAGCCGGACAATCCAGCATTTTTTGAACATATTCTCGCCTAAAATCCTCAATGTCCCACTTTTTGAACCTATTTTTTTTTTTTTTGGAAAATGCTTGAAAATTCGGTTTGTTTCGCTTTTTCATAGATGAATCCGGGCATATCCCACTTTTTTTTACCAAAAATCAGCAAAAACCGATCGACATCCTACCAATGAACCCCTTCTAAAATTAAATAATTCAGTGCATTCAATTCCACATTCACTTCTTTTGTTCACAATTCGACATAAAAAAAATCATAAATAATAAAAAATTTACAGCACATCTTACGAAAGTTTATTTGTTGCAATAAAATAAGCATCATCATCATCATAACCCACGATTAACATTGAAAAATATAATCATAATAGTTTAAAGACTTGTTACTATTATTGGTGGCATAGAAACCTAAAGCCACACATCGGTGTTTAATTGAATGAATTCAATGACTTTCAAGTTTTTTTTTGTATTGTCGCTCATTTTGTTCCTGTTATTCAGATCTTTTGTTGATGCTGAATGGAAAAAAAAAATTTGTTTAATGGATTTTTTGGAGCATTTTATTAGATTGTGTGGAAATAAGAGGGGCTATGTGATGACATTTTGTCTGAAGACGTGAAATTGTGAATGAAAAGTTGCAGTTTGTCATGAATGTGCTGCTTTTACTACCAATAAAGCAATGAATTGAACTAGTTTTGTCAAATTAAAGAGTGCCCGACAATCCAAATCATTGTCTTGACCTTCAAGATTCATGAAATTTGTAATATTGAGGAGTTTTAGGGGCTGAAGTTTTGACTCTATATTTGCAAAAATTAGAATTGAGAATTAAAACTGTAACAATAAATTTGTAGAATTTAGGATGAGTTAAATCTTTGGTAGTTTTTGCGATGATCTGGGAATGCATCATAGCTTTTAACGCAGCCTTAGTGGGATGATATACTTACTTTACTTCCTTGGCCCATTGCCGCATTCAGAGTTCGTCTTAAACTAGCTCTATCCTTAGACATCTTCTGCCAGTTTCTAATTTCTAGTGTATCGTTGCTTGGATGATTAATTAAAGATTTCTGACAGATGAGCTTGATTTTCATCACTGTACACCAGTGTTGGACAACCTTTTTTGTGCCACAGCACACTTTGGGGGGTAAGCCTCGATAGAAACTGTGCACAGCACTCGATTCGTGAGTTTTTTGGAACTTTTTGAAGCAAACCAGTGTGTCGTTGCACATGGGTTCGCCAGTAATGCTATATTATAATGTGTCTAGGGCCCAGCCTTTCAGCTAGAGGCACTGCGATTAAATATTTAAAGAATTTATCGTACCACACCCTTTAGACTTACAGTTTATAGTGGAATCTGAACCACTTGCAAGCTCTGCGCATTGCAAAGACACGAGTCGTTATAAGACCTGATGCACCCTGCAATTTACCAAGTTTGCGCGAGATACCGTAAGGAAGTCATCCAGATGCTAGTATATCCTTGTATACCTAGCAAAGGAGGCATATTCTATGCCAAAGATATCAATATTACACCCAACACACGAACCGAGCTTCGTAACTAGAACAGTGAAATGGAAAAAGACAGAACGCTCTTTCATTTAGGCCACTTATTCCAATTCACCGCTTATCAATGCTAAACACATATGAATATTTGAAAACTTAAATTAAGAACACGAATTTTCCATAAATCCATTAAATAATACATCCCCAAAAATCCAACTGTCTATTTCAATTTACAATTTGCATTACTTCATCACAATGAATTTTTAAATATTCAAAGCTCTTCACAGTTCAAAAGACAATTCACCACTTTCATCGTCTACATCAATTCCTGTATCTACAGCTTTATCAATCGAAAGTGAAGTGTGAAGAGTCATTAAAAGCACTTGTCTTCATTTCCATCGATTCACATTGCAACTCTCTTTTTCATAGAGATTCAATCGATTTATATTCCACATATTCACTGTTTTTTCCATCATTTACAATATTTTTTGTCTTCCTCTTCTCACCTTTCATGCGAGTATGGATAAGTCCGATGAGTCGAAAAAAGAAGAAGCTTGAAATGTAAAGTCTATTAATTCCACATCCACATTTTGTACATCGAAATGAACACAATAAAAATGAAATCGAAACGTTAAAGCAAGACTGAATAAAGAAGAGATGGAATAGAAAGATAGACAGACATTACTGCATGACATACTGCACACAGTTCAGTTAGTGTCTGTCTCACATTCTCTACCGTCTCTCGTGTTTCTCTGCTCAAATAGAAATGGATAGGTTAGATGAATGACTCGAAAAAGCTAACAATATTAATAATGAAATCGAAAGTGATTTTTTTCTCGACTGACTCTGACATTTTTCAGCTTGCATTTTACACTTTAAGTGGAATAAATTGCATGTAATACAATAAAAATGGAAGAATTATTGCAATGTATGTGAAATAGTCAAAGTTGACAGGCAAAATGGCAATTGAATGAGATTAATGCACACGAAAAAGCCATTGGCATCTCATAAAAATGAATATAATATGCTTTTACATGCTCAATGAGAGCAGTTTGAAGCAATGTTTTGAGCCGTAAAATGAATGAACTGTTTGGTGCGATCTCATGTGCGTAGCCAGGAGGGGTGGATTTGGGAGACAAATTCACCAACGTAAACAGAAATTTCTTTATTTTGCTAAGGATTTTATGAAAAAAAATGCAAAAAAATTTTTGTCCCCCCCCCTCTTCAAATTCCTGGTTACGGCCCTGGTGCGGATATTTGGATGGCTGGTCAGAGCTCACTCCAAAGATGTTGCTAGGAGGGGGAGGTGGGTTCTGTGTAACAAACCATAACACCTTTGGATACAGCTTTATCTTACATAATCACCACATATGACTATTTATGATGTCCCGAGTAGCACACGTACATAGTTGAATCGATCAGAATTCCACCACCAAGCCAATGTGACTCAGGCATAATGCTGGATTCAAATTAAAATCAGCACCATGCCAGAGTAATGCACGTGTAGTACCGGATTTCTATTCGATTAACCGACATAAGCCTCTCTATAATGCGCTTCTGCACCATCATCTAATCCATACGTCCAAACTAAACCTCTTCCACGACAAAGTAAATCCCCTGTTTGAGTTAATTGGAACATAAAAAAGTGTAACTTATGATTGTCAATAAAAAAAAAATACGATTGTGTTCAGACATTATGCAATCAAAGACAAGACGACGAAGAAGAAGTGCACATATTGTAACACTTTGTAGTCATTGAATGGACATGATAAATAATGGAGATGTTCAAGATGACAAATTGAGAGAATGTATTTTAATGGATGATATTTAATGAAAATTAGGTTGGGTCCTTGAGATGATTTTGTTGTAGTTTCATGGGTTTTTTTTGCTGCATATGGTGCAGAGGCGTAGTTTGGGGGTGCCAGAGACTTAACGACATGAAAAGGCAACGCAGGAGGACTAATGGGATCAGAATAAAGGATAGTAGGGGTCCAAAGGAAACAATCAATCCATTTCTTGAATAATGTTACGTAATTTCCGATCGAAGCCCGAATAACGTTCAACCTCATTAATTCTACATCACACATTCATCAATAAGTGAAATCACAAATAAATTCGAGGTCAAATTAGAGACACAAAATTAACACAACAACAAGAAAAGAAGATATTTTGTATCAATGAAGCTTGATACGAGGTCCATAAAAGTCAACAAATTCGACAAGTAACGTGAATGATAATATTCACGAGATATGAAGACATGTGTCGCCAGAGATTATGATTTTTGCAGAGCGATAAGAATGTTTGATTTGCACGTAGACTTGATGATTGGATTTTGGTGATTAAATTTTGTGCATAATTTTTTTTGACATGAAAGTTTTGAGTTTGCTGGACTTTTCAAAATATCTCAAGCACTGCTGAACCACCTGACAATTCATTCACATTTAGGTTCTTTTACCTCATAAACATCCAGTCATTCAGATTCTTTCCTGTAATCAACCAGAAAATTTCCACGTATCCACAATGGAATTGCTTAAAGAAATATTAAATTAATCCATAAAATACTGTATCAAGTTCCACATCATATTCATAAGAAAAAATAAAAATTAATAATAATAACAAACATCAATGAATTGAGAGAAACTGCCATTGGCAAGGCTACAGACACAATGCAAAAAAAAATCATATTAATATTTATTGCTCTCACGGTGAGATAAACAAGCATGAAAAAGTTAACGAGACTCGCGTATAGTCAGAGATAAATGCCCTCAATTGAGCTAAAACATTATTATTATTACTACTGCGGAAATTTACTACTTAGTTTATTTGTAATTATCGATTGATTTGCGATATTGAAATTAGTGAGGTTCCCTTGTGGAGATTTAATTAAATTTTTGGGTTGGAAATCTTGAAAATTTTGAAATTGAATCATATTATATTAGAATAATTTAGAACAGTGATGGTCAACCAGTGTGATGCGTCTCACTAGTGTTTATATTAATTTTGCACGAACCCTAAGCTGTGTGTGGTTTTAGTCAAAACACATCATAAGGTGTGCCTTAGCACAAAATAGGTTGTCCACCACTGATTTAAATATTCAACATTAGAATCAAGAATTAATTTTTTTAAAAAGAGAATTTTTGAATTTTAAAGTTTGTCAATATTTGGAAAAGAAAATTAATATTGAAATTGTTTTAAAAATTAAATAAAAATGAAACTTTTAATCAAAGTAAGAAAAAAATAAAATTATAAAAATAATTTTAAAAATTACAAATTTTAAAATAATTTCTGATTTTTAAAAATGACTAGATGAAAAACTAATTAAAGTCAGAAATAAAATAAAATTTTAAAAATAACGAATTTATATTTAAACAATTTTAAGAAAAATTATTTTAAAAATATCCAGATTAGTTCATAAACCCAAGCTCTCATAAATTATTTTTAAATTTTTTTCGCATATTTCCACACATCATCAATTGCAATCTTTCAAACATGTTGAAAAAAAAATAATCCACATTTATTTCATCATCAACTATAATAAATGTTATTGATTAAGCGCATTAAAATATTCTATCGAGATTAAAACTCATTGGCAGTTAATTCGAATTAATAATTTTTTATGATTTTATTCAACAGTTTTGAAAAAAAAATAATTATAATTTGTGGATTGCGAGCGACGGTGATGAAAACTAAATTAAAAGTCATGAATGAATGAATGTTTTGTATGAAATGAGGAAATAAGTATAAGTTTGGTGCGCGTTATGTGTGGGAAATTTTGAATAAGTTCTGTGGTTCTCAAACCTTTTAATATGTTAGATTTGAATTGTTATTCCTTCTTTTTAAAATGTTTTTAAACAAAAATATTTAAAATAGATTTTTAAAAAAATCTTAAGTTTGAATAATTTATTAATTTTTTAATTCTATCTTTTTAAAGAATCATTATTTTATTAATTTTATAAATATTACAAAAGTAATAATTTTTTAAATATTACAAAAATAATAATTTTTCAAAATTTTAAAAAATCATAAAATATAAAATACTTATTTTCAAAGTTTTAATATACGATGTTAACTTTCTTAATTTTTTAAAATTAATATCATAATTTTAACTTTTTGACAAATTTATTTCTTTTATACTTAATAATTCATTTTTTATCAATTGCAATCTTTTAAGTTATTCCTCAATTTAATATCTCAATTTTCCTCACAAGCTGCTCAACTTAAATTTATAACCTGCCTATTTCCATAGCGCATTGCGAAATTTATTAGACATTCAACATTATTTTATCGCTAATACGATCTTATTCCGTACATTTTCCTTAAGTTCATCTACATATATTTCCATTCAATAGATTGAATTACTCTATTTAATTTAAATACAATTTAATTCTTATTTTTTTCCTTTTTCTTTCGTTCGTACAAAGACGACTGGCAATGACGACAAGCACTACGGTCATGAATGTTTTGAAACGCGTAATTGAGTCTATTTCAATAATTGATTATCATATTTCTGTTGAGAGATATATCTCGTGTGTTCTACATTCAATAATTCTATTGATTTTATTTAATTTATTTGAATTGAATAATAATAAAAATACTAGAGTATGGGATCAGTATTGTGAAATGAATTTGATTATTTAATTTTTATATAATTTTTCAACATTTAAGAATTAATATTAAATTATTTTAAAAGATTTTTCAACTCTTAGAATTTTAATTTTTGAGAATTTGAAGAATTTGTAATTTTTTTTTGAAGCTTTAATGTCTTTAAAATATTTCATAATATATATTTCATATGAATTTTCATAATTTTCAATTTTTTAAGATTAATACTTTTAATTTTTTTTAAATTTCAAAATTTTATATTTTTTTTATTCTTCTTAAATTCACAACTTCAAGTTTTGTTTAATTTTTTAAAAGTCACAATCTCAAAATTTTTTTAAAAGTCAAAATTCAAATTCTTAAAATTATTCAAAATAATTTTTTTTTTTAATTTTAATATTTAAAATAATTCAAAATCGATCACCTCCAAAAGATCCACAAATGCAGAAAATTATAAACATTCTCTATAATACAGACATGCTTAATATATCAGTCTGACGTGAATTACTTTACTTTTTTTTTACTTCCTATTTATATCTCGAATTTTCCTCCAACTTCAACCTCATTTATATGTTAATTTTTTTATCATTGTTATTTTTTCCTTCTTATTTATTTACATAAATCTCTGCATTCCTGAATGAATCGATGTCATGACATCTACATTTTCATGGAAAATATCAATACTTATCTTTATCCTTAAAAAAACATAATCGATGTAGTGACAAAATTGAGAATTTCATCGATGAAAATAAGGCACTGATGAAGAGAATGTATGGATATTTTGAGGCAGAAAATGAGTACGGATCGACGTTTCAGCAAGGAAAGAAACGAAAGCGTATGCTGTACGGTGAGGATGCAAATCCACCAAATTTGCCGGAATTAGATGAAATTTTTTTTCCACCTGGAGAGGGACCAAATCCGATAACAGATGCTGGCCCTTCGGGTGATTCATACTTTAGTAAATTACGCTCTAAGCGACAATCTAGACCTAATCCTAGTAGTAGTAGTAATAATAAAAATGCTGGAGGTGGCAAAGACACGGGACGGTAAGTACAAGAATGTTTTAATTTGACAATTTTTTAAAAATATATAAAATTTATAAAAATTCAACATTAAAATTTTTATATCTTTAACATTTCAAAAATTGTTTTTTTTATAAAAATCATCCAACTAGTGTCGATGCATGCGAATCAAAAGTAGAAATTGTAACACCATATTGGGCATCTAATTCAGCTGGTAAAATTCGTGCCATTGTTAATACACAACATTTTGAGCAGGCAATTCATCAGGAAGTTTGCTCGTAAGTATCAAAAATTTAAACCCTCTGAAAACTACACAACTTCAAGCTCTCAAAAATTCAACTTCATTCATCAATCGTGAAGTTTGAGAAAAAAAAAAGACCCGAGACAAATCGGAACCTGTTCAGTTTCTTTATTGATATTTAAGAATAAACAAAAGAACATCAGCTGATGTTGATTCTTTCGAATGTTTTTGACCAAGAATAAGTCAAGAAGCCACGAAATGAACAGAAAGAAAAGAAGAAGAACTGATACTTGTGCTGAAAGATTATCAAATATCTTGATTATCGTTAGTAGCACGTGTTTTTAATTGTATTGTGTGTTTTGCGCGTTCTGGGTTGATATATTGACAGAATATCTTTGTTTTTTGGGTATGTTTTAGATGTGAATGGATTGATTTTAAGACTTTACCATTTGAATATTGAAATTTGAGACAATTACGATCCGTTAGCTTTTAAAAGATGTTCGTGGTCACTCAAGATCAATAAAGGAAGGGAATTACTAGGGTGTAAACCCGAATAGAAATATAGCACCAAGTTAGCGCAATTTTGGGTTGGTTCTGGATTCGATTTACGTCACCTAGAGTCAGGCACATAGCCCAGAGGGTATTGTCCCTCTTGGCTACGCGCCTGCCTAGAGTGCCTAGAGTCACATTAACTTGGTGTCAGATTTCTATTCGATTAACCGACTTGTGCTATTCGGGAAACCTTTCATTGATTTAAGTTTTTGGTCAGGATAATGTGGACATTCATATAAACTATGAGATGGGGTCGCTCTATTTCGTGAGATAAGGTTACAAATTACTTGTGACTTTCTGAAGCCCTTCTATCCATTGTCTCATTCATTTCAATCAAGTTTCATTAAACGAACTTCTTATCCGACGTATTATTGACAGATGTTAGATTTACTTCCTTAGTCGAAAGTTAATGATTGCTTTATTTGTCAGATTTATGTTTGTTTGTTTCCAGATATTTTTGACAAGCTATCAAAGATTCTAAGTCTTTTGACAGTCTATCAGAGATTTTAAAACTTCCAACTTTTGACAATTTATTAACATTTTATTATTCCTATTTTTAGAAAAGTACAAACAAACCGTTGTGCTGGTGAATGTGGCTGTGAACAAAAATACAAATGGCATCGTTTGCTAGCCTATGATCCAGATAATGATTGTAAAGGAATTTTCATGGATTGGTTCTTGTTTCCAAGTTGCTGTGTTTGCCGATGCAATCCACTTTAAGAAATGAGTGGCATGGATGACCCAATAAATAGTGCGGAGTAAAAAGGAAGAAGAATCATCATCAAGCCCTAGCATCAAGCCAGGGATCATTGTCATATAATTTTATAATAAATTTAAACAAAATAAAATTCATCAAAAAAAATTATCATAAGCGCTATTTTTGCAATAAATTGTGACATAAAAGTGACAGAAAAAGTGAATAAGTTTTCTTATGTAAGAAGAATTTTAAGTGCAATTATTGAAGAAATAGAAAAAAAACGATGTAAAAATTTAAATTATTAAATTAAAATTCATTTTATTCAACATATAAAATTCAAAAAATGCCACCATAAGCGAAAAAAAATTTTAAGACTCAATAAAAAAAGAAATATAGTAATTGAAAAAATGTTAAAATTAGAAATTAAATTAAGTGACACTTGTGTGGAGTTAATGTGATGTTTTTGAGGGGTTTTTGAGTCCAAGATCCTCTAAAAGTTAAATAGTAAATGAAAATTTAAATAAATAAATTTAACAATTCAGAGTTACACAAACAACTTCACTAAATTCTCATTCTAATTGCACACAAGCACCCCAAGATGAAAATAGAATAAAAATTCATCTTGAAACCCTTTTTTCCTTCCTTTTTGCTTTTATACATACTTTTAATCTTATTAGATTTAAATGAGCAATCCCATTGTCTTAATTAAGATGTGAATACAAAAAATGCTTAAGTTTTTTTTGCTAGAATAATAAGTAAAGAAAAACGATTTAAATGTTCATTTTATTGTAAAGATTTTCCTTTCATTTCTATCACATTGCTTAACACATTTATCAAAGTCTAGACGATTAAAAAAAATTTGCTGTTATTTACATTATTTTTGATGGGGTCCGAATGGGAAATTTTGTTGGAATTTTAAAGTTTTTAAAAATTTATTTTCATTGGAAATTTATGTAAAAAATGCAGTTTTGAACTTTTAAAATTGAAATTTTAAGAAAATTTGAACTTTTTTAAAACAAATGCTGAAAATTTTTTTATTTTAAAAATTCATTGTGTTAATTTTAATTTCTAAAATCAATTTTTTTAAAAAATCTGTAATTGAATTTTTTAAAAAATTGCCATCAATAATTTTAATTCAATTTTAATATTTAAATTAATTGAAATTTTTGAACTTAAAAAAACCAATTTTTTTAATCTTTTTAATTTTTGAAATATTTGTTTTTTTTTTGAGACCTTTGAAATTTATAAAATTTTGCAGAGTTTCTAAAATAATTTTTTTAATAAGATATAAGCTCTCAAAAATCTTTTTAAATCTTCTATAAATTAAAAAAAAAATTAAAAAATTGAAAACAAAAACTTTAAATTTATTTTTAATTTTCACACGATTTTAAGATTTTTCAAGTCCAAAATATTCTTAATAATCCATACAAAATCCCCCAGCAACCCCCATCGCTTGTATATTTTTTTATATTTCATTCTCCATTATTTCCCTTCACTTTTATTTTTGTGCTTACGACTTTAAAATTGAGATTTAGTATTAAGCGAAGAAAAAAGAGATAAGAAAAATAAAATAAAATAAAAATAGCAAAATGTGTAGAAAAAACTGAAGAAAAAAAATAAAAGAAGAAATTTTTCTCTCCTTGATGCAAGTTAATTTATAATTTTCCTCATTTCATCTCGTTAAGAATGGATGGTGAGTGAGAAAATGAGTCAGAAGTTGACGACGGATTAAGTTGATGAATTGGTTGCGAACAGATTGAGATTGTGGGTTGAAATTTTTATTTCAGGAATGAACTCTTTGGTGTGGTTTCTATTATGGGTCATTTAAATGATGTATAACATAATTTGTGACTTTTAAAATTGTGAAGCCAGAGGGTGGACTTGGGGAATTTCTTAAAATTTCTGGCTACGTCTCTGACTTGTGTAAATTATAAAACAGACCTTAGAGCTAATTCCTTACTTACTTACTGTTACCATGTTCCTATCTGGACCTTGGGTTACAACAAAAGGCTTTCCACCTGATTCTGTTGCTGGTTTTGTCACCTATTTTGTACAAATTTTCTGTCTGCACATTAAGCTGACATCGCCAAGTAACTTTTGAAGCTCCTGGACAGCGCCAAGTAACTTTTGAAGCTCCTGGACGTCTGTTTCCTTTCAGATTTCATCCAAAAGCGGTATAACAAACTTGTGTTTTTGTCCAACCAATGCTATCCTCTCTTGCGTTTTTCTTACGAAGTGTATGTCCTATCCAGCCGTACTTCTTCATCTGTATCTCCTTTTTGATGTCTTGTTGACCTGCTTTTTGTAGAAGCTTCTCATTTAGGTCTGCTTGAGAAATTTTAGTATTTGACATGATGGATGTAAAACCTAAAAGATTCCTTAGAGTCGCTAGTGGACCTTAGAGTACCCAGTCAAAAGTTTATTGTTTGTACGGCAAATGAGGGGCCTCAATTTTCAAAAACACACAACATTCTATTCAATTTCCACCCCCAGCATCCAAATGAACATCAAAATAATCACAATGGTTACAAAAGAGAAATGAAAAAAATATTATAAATTGAAATCATCATCACAGCAATTATGATTATAGCTGACTCGGCTCCTCTCTTCTTCTTTCAGCTGTTTTCCTCGTCTCATTGAGAATTATTCGTTCATTCACTCACTGAATCATGTTAAGTAATTTGCTGATGAAAATGATAATGTTGTTGAGTTTCATGCGAATTAAGGTCAAATTGATAGACGAAGCAGTAAAAATAAATTTTTTGGCACTTTAAAAAATTACAAAATGAATTTTCAGATGTAATAAATGGACGCATTTGCAATTGTGAGATATTAAAAGTTTATTCCTATGAGAAATGTATTTTATCATCGTGACATGAACCTTTTTCCGGTTCATGGTATTCTTGCATGTCTTCTGGTGTAGGAATGAGTTGGAAAGTATTGTGTCATTTTATGAAGACAAATTATAACCTGAGACATTTCTTGTCTAGGAGTTGTGATTTGCTTGATTATTCATCAGTTGAAGGAGGAACAAATCTGTCCACGAGGTTCCTAGCTGAATATTACATAATTGAAAATTTGCTCTCCCAAGTCACCTAACCTTCAAAAACTCACTCAAAGAAAAATTCATCATAATCCATTTTCCACCCAAATAAACCATCCATAATTTTTCATTCAAGCGAACAGTACCGTCATTAATAATAATTTCCTTTATCTCTTCACTCTTGTTCCCAAACGAGAGACAAAAATAACAAAACTTTCAAGTAAACAAGCTCAATAAATGTAATTGCAATTGTTTCCCAAGAGCTTTTATTCTTTTTTCTTCTCAAAAAAAACTTTTCCTCTTTTGTTTCAAAAAAAGTTTCAGATGGAAAATAGAGAAAAATGACAGTTATCACAATGATGCCATATAAATGTCACTCATGCATTCAACTAAAAGAATGAAGCAATGATGAAGAAAAAGTTTCTTTTTTACTTGAGTTTTTATAAAATGAAGAGGATACAATGGGAGTGATTTTTGAAGCTTAAATTAGCTTAGTTTTGTGAAAATTCTATGGATATTATGATGGCTATTTGTAGCTTGATGGGTTCTAATTTAGGTTAAAAAGATGTGAGCATCGTGCGAATCCTTTTCATGTCGACAAATCTTTATAAAATAATTGAGAGTTTGGTTTCTTGTAAGAATCGAACCCACGTACCACAAGAGAGTGTTTCACGTATCTCGTCTGATACCTTGCCACTCGTGCCACAGAGGCTTAACTCTTACACTGATAGATTCGCTTATATATAGCTTGATACCCCAGATTCCACTATGCTCCAACACCACAGGAGGTATGCTAATAGAGATGTAATTTTAAAAGGTCAAGGATATTGGAATGACTAAATTGGCAAAACTATAAACGAATCATTCTATAGCTTCTCAGCTACATGCTAAGCATTATTCAGTATAGCTATTATTAGCATAAATGTTCACAGTTTTGGAACAAAATCAGCAACATATGATTCTCTACTCCAAAAACAGCATCAACAGTCTTTATATGCAACCACTTAATTCCATCCAATTCTATCCTATTTTTATCCGATTTCCACCATTAATTCCCTTTAAATGCGCTCTTATTTACTTCCACTAAGCTGTAACATTTTAATCATCCACTATAATTTTTTTCAATGCTAGTTTATACCATAAAAAAAGCTCAATGCACGAACAGTGCATTGACAATTTATACCCATTATAAAAATGTGCAGCATAACACTCAACTGACATATTATGTTGTCAATTGGAAGCTTTATTTTTCATGGTTTTATACTCAACGGAGAATGAGCTCTGCATTGAATTGCATTAACGATGTCAAACCGCTAACGAACGTGAGAAAAAATAGTGACTGTGATATGAGCATGCAGAATGAATAGAAGTGAGAAGCACAAGAAGTGTGAAAGCAATTAAAACAGTTTAATGAGCTTCTTTGTATTGGGATGTTGTAGGGGTTTAAAATTAGCCGGGAAAATTTTAGCTTCATTGCTAAAACATTGTTTTATTATCTAAGAATCTGCTGTCGATTCTGTCCTACACAACTCCCAAAAAACGTAAGTCTAGAACTCCTAACAGAGCAAAAGTATCCACAGCAGAATATACACCGGAAAGTCAATAATGAAGCAACGGAAGCAACCACACAAAGACGTAAAAGCACGAAAATTGCCAGCAATTTTCATCTCTTTATTGTGCACATTCATCACATACCATAAAAGCCAACCAACATGTACATATCGTTCATTTCTTATCCCACCTATACGTTTACTTATCCTTTATTTTTTTATTTCCATTCTCTTCGTTTTGGCTTTTATTTAATTCCATAAGACGCTAACAGAAAAAAGTTAACCCTCGTTATGTTTTGACTTCCTCCTAATTCTTTTCATTCTTCTTTCGTACGTCTTTGTATCTCACAAATGTGTCGGGTGTGTGTTTTTCCACACATCTTTCTTTTTTTTCTTCTTTTTTTGTTGCTCATCATTCTTGTAGCTTGGT